TTATTCTTTAAATAATAATAATAATTATATATAATAATTATTATTATTATACTAATATTATATATATTGCATATGTAATTAGGTAAATATTTTTTTGGTGGATTGTAGATTTCCTAATCGACGTCAATTTTTAGCTCCATTTCGAGGTGTAAGATATCATCTACAATATTTTGCAGGTCAGGGTAATGACCCTGAAAATGAGAAAAAATTGTTCAATCTTCGTCATGCATCTTTAAGGAATGTGATCGAGAAAATATTTGGTATTTTTAAATCAAGGTTCACAATTTTTAAGTCAGCACCTCCATTTTTATTTAAGACACAAGTAGAACTTGTGTTAGTATGTGCAACACTACATAATTTTTTACGTAAAGAATGTCGTTCTGATGAATTTCTAATTGAAGTGGTGGATAAACCTTCATCTTCAACGTTACCAGTTAATGAAGATCATACTTTTGAACCTATTATTCAAACCCAGAAGCAAGAGCGAAAAGACGCTAATACTTGGAGGAATAGTATAGCTATAGATATATATGTGGGTGAATGCTATTTAAGAGGATAAGATATTATGGAGAATTATTATTATTATTATTTATCTAGATATTATTATTTTTTATTATTTTTGTCTTTGACTCTTTTTAAATTTGAATGTATGAAATTTTTTTTGAAATCTTATCAAATGTCAAAAATCCACGAAAATTCTACAAAATCCCACAGAATCCATTAAAATCCTGATTTAAAAGTCTTGCAGAATACATTAAAATCCTGATTTTAAGTCTTGTAGAATCCTGCAAAATCTTAAAAGTCATGAAAATCCTGCAAAGTCTTTTAAAATCCGCAGGATTTTTTTTAACTAAAAAAGTCCTTTAAAATCCTAATTCAATACACCCCCTTAGTCTTAGTGCTTGTTTCGATTAATTAAATAAAAAAAATAGGCAAAAATGTTAAAAAGTAAAAAATTATATATATTAAAAAAGGATTTCGCATGTGGGAATTGCAGTACATAATAACCAAATAAAAAAAATGCCTTATGAATTCTGTTGAAACATATTAATCAGAAAAAAAAAGGTTAAATACTTTTTTTTCCCTTACAATATTTTTTGGTTTCAATTTAGTCCCACTTTAATTTTCAATCTCAATTTGGTCTCCAATAATTTAAATCGTTCCAATTTGGGACTTCCGTCTAAATGATTTAAACGGAGTTAACTGGTGGCCACGTGGATGCCAGGTGGATGCCACGTAAATGGATCCAAAAATACTTGAATACACCTGGAACCAGAACGGTCCGTTCTGAAACCAAAACGGCCCGTTCTGGTTACACTATTGGTGTGTAAAATTTGCACCTGGAACGGGCCATTCAAGGTCCAAAATTAAACACACCAACAGTGTAACCAGAACGAACTGTTTTGGTTTCAGGTTTTTTTCCAGCATTTTGGCGTCCACCTGCGCATCGACGTGGCATCCATGTAGATGTCACGTGGCCAACAGTTAACTCCGTCTAAATCATTTGGACGGAAGTCCCAAATTGCACTAATTTAAGTTATTGGGGACCAAATTGAGACCAAAAATTAAAGTGAGACTAAATTAAAACAAAAAAAATATTGTAAGAGACCAAAAGAGGTATTTAACAAAAAAAAAAGTTACGGCCGGCATATATTAATTGGACAAAACATATATGTTGCAATAAACCTTTATGATGTGTTTGGATAAGAAATTTTAAATTCGTAGTATTTGAATTACTTTTATTTCAATTTTTATCATTCTTAAAATATTTTGTTTGAATAAGTCAATTCAAATTTCTCAAATTTTAAATTATTTTGTTGGATATAATAATTTGATTTCATCATGTTAAAATTTATTCAAAAAATATATTTATATGTTGAGATTTTTAAATTAAATTTTATAAAAATAAATATTAACTAATTTTTAAATATTTAATAATTTTAAAAATTAATATTAGATAATATTTAATAATTTTAATATATTTTTAAATATTTAATAATTAAAAACATGAAGAAATAAAATAAATCCTTACGAATCGTGAAAAATAAATAATTAAAAATAAGTGTCGCTGATACTCACCATGACAAAAAAAAGAAATTAAAATTTTCTTGGCTTTTACATGGTAAAAAAACTCTAAATCCTAAACTTTAAATTAGTATAAAAAGAAAAATAAAAAATTTATGTCGTCAGCCAATTACAATAGAACAGGTGTCACTGCTAAGTTGCAACGACATCTAAGTCAGCATCACGTATCCCACTTGGACCCTCTTTAGGTTAAAAAAATAAATGTCGTGGCATTAATGTTATTAAATTAATTAACGACATTCCATGTTGATCATTTAAAGTCGGAAATTGTTTAAAAAATGAAAATTATTACGATATCCTTTTAAATTAAAATGTTTTGGTACAACTAATTTTTAAAATCAATAAGAATAACTTAAAATATATATTTTCTTTTTCTTTTCACTTTTTTTTCCTTTACATTAAATGATATGTTATTGACAAACAGATAATTTAAGTAATTAATTTATTCTTTTTTATCACTAAATATTAGTCTGAATATTTTAAATCATTTTATAAAAATTAAAATAATTTTAAAAAAATATAATAAAATTTTATTTGCTGAAATAAAAGATTTTATGAATTTTTTTATTAAATGTATTTCTCAAAATTTACATACAAATATAAAAAAAATCCCAATTTACCATGACTTGTAATATATAAAGAGTTTTAAGAAAATAATAAATATAATCAAATTATTCTAAAACATTAAATATTCACACATTTAAAAAATAACACTTTTAAAACCCTTTAAATTTTCTAGGGTACAGTAAAATTTCTCTTAAAAAATAACTTCACTTAGATAACATATTCGAAAATGGTATTATGATAAAAAAAATTAAAAAAAAAGCCCATTCTTGAACATAACCTTGTATCGTTTAGTTTGAATAATTTGGTCCTAAGACTTTGATTTCTCTTTTTCTCTCGATTCAGAATTGTTCTCCCGTCGGAGATGATGCATTCCAATTTTTATAATCTCTACAATTATATATTGACTAGAGAGAAAATAAAAAACAAATTACTCAAATGACGGAGAATGTCGAGTTGAGCAGGCTGTGCAACATCAACTGGAATTGAATTTTGATATGATATTTTCAAATTCATATGGAAAATTCAATAATAAATATATTTTGTGCAACAGATTCACTAACCATGTTTGGGTAAATACAATAATTTTTTTAATTACAACTAAAAATAATAATTTTAACTTGGGATAAAAACAAATTTATATTATATTTGAGGTACAAAAAACAAACATTAGTAAAAATTCAAAAGTTTCTTTCTTTCATTTTCTCTTTTATTTTAATTAGAGTTTTTGTCCTTTTCCTTGAGCTGGTTGGTTTCTATCTCAAAGTCTCCTGTATTATAATTATAATTTATATATAT